AGGTCCGGTCCATACCATCAACCCGCGCCTTGACGACTGTGGTGAAGATGATGTCCTAGACCGTGCGACGTTGTCGGAGCTGCTCGATGTTGGAGGTCATCCAGATCGAGAGTACCTGGTCTCAGGTATTCTAACATGGGTGACTCCACACTAGAAGTTTCGCAGCTGTTTGGAGGTGACGTGAATTTAAAGGTCTTCTCCAGTCAGGCTGCGACTGGAGATGACTTCATATTTTGGTGTACATGAAGGTGATGGGCGAGAGCCAGCTCCTGCTTGTAGAGGAACATCTTGGGTATCTTCCGCCCTGGTACTCGCGTCCTCTGTCTGGGCAGCGAAAACTTGCTGATATGTGACTCGGTCGAAGTGACTTTTTTTGCCCCCCCCCCTGTAGTAGTCTGTGCATGGGTGCGCATACACCCCAGAAAATAAGCAATGTCCACCGGATTTTAGGTGACGTTTGAGGAGATAGCATCGAGAGATCAACTGATTCTTCACGAAATATATGGGCTTTCATACATCAACTTTTTAATTTTCAGTGCAGCAATCTCCTTTCGAGTTTTTCACTTCTTTTTAAGATACTCTCACGTGGGAGCCGGAAAGGAGTATGCAAAGTTAATTTGTAATATGTCAAGTCAAAAGATTCCCCGAGCCCAGCGCTATCCCATGACATCATTGCCCCGTTACCGCCCTTTTTTCTCGAGGCAGCACCTTCATGACATTTCAGCATTTCCTATCGAGGAAAAAAGGCATTACTGATATTTACTTTTTGCTCATGGTTATTAACCAACAAATTCTGATATCTCAGAGAACGCCCTCTTTTCTCGCTCACTGTTCTTTCCTCAACAACTTTTACAGGTTTTCGCCCTTTGACAATCCCTTCTCGTTCAACGGCGAAAGCTTTGTTGAGACTTGACACGCATTCCTCTTCAATTCTAAGTAGTAGTTCTCTCTGTAAGTACCAAATAGTCTATATAGTAACCTACGGTTCCCAGCAGATGTCTGCTGTTGTATAACGATCACTGCTATTCAACGTCGCATCGCTCTATGAAAGCTATCACAAGAACGCTAGGTTAGGGGCAAAAGTCAGACTGCAGGCAGGCTCGAACCCGCATCCAACTACACTACACTAGGGTGTATGTCAATAGATAAATGAATAAGCAAATGAATAAATGAATTTCTGACCGGGCAAGTGCGCTATCCAGTACGCCCTCGCAGACGCTCCCACCTCTCAGCTCAGTGGTTTATGTGATCACCCTTGGCGTAGCCTGGAATAGCACTGTGGCCAACACTTATCGAACTAAAACGACCTCAGAAGCCTTCACCCTCGCAGCTCACTGCCGATGTCGGCCAATAGGCACGTTATACATGCGAGTGCTATAAGGCTATGGCACAAAGAAACTGAGCTGGTTGGTGAGAGGGCAAGAACGATCCGGTATCGTAATAGACAGCGCAATCGTCCGTTCAGCGCGAGACGTGGGCTCGAGCCTTTTCTGAGTATAACTTTTGCCCAGGCGTAGCTATAGTTAGCACGATAAATCCTCGTGTTAGGGATTTATCGTGCTAACTGCCTTCAAGAAGCCTCCTCTTCGTCTATGTACCAATGTGATGTACGCTTTAGCATCCTTAGCTGATATGATATTGATAATTTATCCTTAGCTTTTCAGACTCTTCGATGGAGACCTCAATAAACGGTAATTGTAATTTTGCCGCAACACTGGGGATTGGAACGAATGAATATTTATTTATTATTGCATTCTGTATCAGTTTGCTTTACTCCATACCATCTATGTACATTACATATCGGATAGCGGAAGCAACAACGAAAAAGCCTATAAGGCTTGCGAGCCCGTTTTTCAGACTATTTCTTCACGATCGACTGCTTGTACGTTTCTTCTTAGATATCCAGTAACTTCATTAGTGTGTGTAAATGCCATCAGTCAACGTCATGCAGTCACGTTGTTTCCTAAGAAAAAATGGAAAAAATGTTTTCACTAATAATATTTGGAAAATGCACTATTGCGTATTTTACCGTTTGTCTAGAGCCGATTTCCAATGAATGCAATCAGCGCTGGGTGCTATTCTACGTCACAACCTCTCTGAATATGTTTGGGGGGTCTCTTTGTACATGGAAAAAGGCACGCGAACAGGGTGACTGTATGATAGTAGCGTATCGGAGTAGCTCACAAAACACTAAGACTGCGTTTATACTTTGCGACAGCGACCGCTAGCGTCCACCACCCACCAGCAGCGTTTCGAGCGTCGTCACCGTCAGCAAATAGGAAAGCTTAGGCATCGATCTAGCGGCTACCAGCATCATCAGCGACCACCAGCGACCAGCAGCGTTCATCTGGGTCCATCAGCGTCAGTCAGCTAAGAACAGCGTCTGAGGGCTAAGGAAGTATAGGTAAAGATCTAGCGATCTGCAGCGTCTAGGAGTGAAGAGTATGGGGAAGTTGGAGGGTGCAGACAGCTACCCTCCTATCTCCCCATACTCTACCACCTTTCTGCTACCCTCCTATCTCTCCATACTTCCCACCAGCTGTCTGCTACCCTCCTCTCTCCCTACTTTCCCCACACCTGGACGCTGCTCGTCGCTGGTAACGCTGGTGGTCGCTGCCGCAACGTATGAACGCTCTAAGCGCTTACGAACCCTTGCTCATAGGTAATGGTAGCAAAGAGTCTGAGGGGTTTTATGCTGACATCGACATAAGACTGGCATCCAGCCACCATAGCTAAATAGTCCAAATAACCTAGAACTAGCAGTATTATATGCTGTCCCGGAGCCTCATTTGGAATCCAGCAGTTGCGGTAAATTGCTACTTTGCTATTCAACTTTAACTTCTCATGACCGTAAGTGAAGGAGGGCTTTCTACAATTTATGCAAAAATAAGGAATATAACCGAATTAAATTTACCTGCGTCTCCGATTTCACTTCAAGGGGCTGTTCAAAAAATTGGAGCACTTTTGTCGTCCACAACTGCACATCACGATTTGAAAACGGGCAATGTTTTTTAACAGTTCGGACTTAGTGTTGTAGGAATATAAAGAAGCACCAGTGAAAGGCGAGCAGATTTCGTATCAGAGGAGAGGGAGAGCTACTGGAAGTGGCCACCATCAACACCGTCGAGCTAACAATAAGAGCTCCCACTATATGCACGTCACCCTGAAGCATAAGCGTTATTTCCAAGGCTGATTCTTTCTCGTGAAGTTTCCCGGAAACTGTTGCTTAGATAATAGACAGAATATTCGAAGCTTTTTTCGCTACTGTCCGTGCAAATTAAATTACTAAAATTCAACGCTAATTCATTTATAGCTTGCAGCCAATATTATTTATTGGCATATTGACATACTTCGAAAAGAAAAACAGCTTCATCTGATTGAATTATAGCTATACAATGATCTTTTCTTCCTTCCTATATAAGAGAACACAGATAATACATCTAAGGGCATGTGCGATACGGGAACTATACGACTTCTTCGAATCATTCCCTTATCGAAAAATAAAATGAAATAAAAGAGTTTTAAGTAGTGTGTTGCTAAGTGCTGGAAGCACTTCGTATAGAACCCAAAACAAGGCTGCACTTTAAAAGACTTATCGCGGAACAAAACGCTTACAGAATCCACTACACGCGGTACATTCAAGGAAGATTTTGTGATTTTTATATCTATCAAGGAACCGCAGGTGTGAGGAACCAAAATAAACAACCCTGTATCAGCTTTGCGCGCGCAGGGATCTAGGAAACTGTGGGCGAGGGTTCGTTTTCCTTCACGTGCAGGTCAACTAGCGCAGTTAAGTCAATGCGCTTTTTTTAGATCCCCCGCTACCACCTTCGCCCGCTGCCCTTTTCGGGTTTCCCGAATGTGTCCGGAATTTCGCAGAGTATTTTCTGATGCAGCACGATGACAATGCCACGGTACCCCTTGATCTAGGAAAGTCCGTGGGAATCAAATTTGCTCACCGCCTTTGAGTAACTCGTAAGGCCGACCTCTTGCTTGTTCAGTCAGTGGGCCCTCAAATTCTCTAGGATTACCTCCGTTTCTACACAGTAAGTGAGGCGCTGTGGCCCCATGAATGGCAGCTCTTACGCCTCCCCAGTTTTCCCGCCCACCGAAGTTCGAAGGTTTTCGTCAAATCAAGTTTTCACATCACGTTTTCCGTTTTTTTTTTCGTTGTCAGACCGCAACAGCATTGAGTGACGGGCAGAAACGATTAGTGAGCTAGGGGTGGCAGAATATCCCATCGCTTGCATAAAACGAGCAGGTCCTGAGAACTCGTCCAGAGAGGCTCTCATGTATTTACTTAGGATGTTCTCCATGGTTCTTTTTCGCAGTTATCTTCACCGCGGAGTCGAATATACGTAATTGAGCGCCACTATCCACAATGTACAATCGCAGGGACTGTCTTCGAGTGAACTTTCATACTGAGAATGCTGGGGAAAGTGTAGTGGAAATGCACGAAAATTTCTGTTCTCTTTTTCAAATAAAGCTGTACCTACTCAAGCATCAGAAGCATACAGCCTACGAGGTGTTGCTCCAGCCACAGATTCTGGGCCATATGGTTCTAATCAACTGTTTGTTCCTGAGCATTTCCTCGGTTGTTTTAAAATCATTGTCCTTATAGATTTGTTGAGTGCTAATACTGCACAATCATCGTGTCGGTCCATACAATACGCTTTCAGGCATTTATCTTCTTCTCTTATGGAATGATTTTTATTCGTCTGCCATTAACTGGTACCGTCACGATGCTGCTCTGTAAGATACCTGCCAACTTTTTAATCACCTCTATCTACGTGGTCTACTACTATCTCAACTACGCCGTGATCTATTCTACGTTGGCCATTTCGCTTCTCAGAGCGACTGCTGTACTTCGACCGTTTGACTCCATAAAGGTATTTTTGGCAATTTTCATGAACTGAAGTCAACACTTGTGTTTCCTGCATTAGTCCGGAACAATCTGACCGCATGCTGAATTTTTAGCTCTACGGGCACGGTTAGGAACATATTGTTTTGTTATGATTTCAAAAAATTCTTTTTGCTTTTTTTGAAGAGATGAAGAATCTTGGCCAAAAAGACATTTCTTAATAGCACATATGCCAATGATTAATATGATATTTTTCATCAAGGCATCTCGGCTAGAGGGGAGTATTTTGCACTTTCGCTACTTCCCTTCAAAGTTGTCCACCCATGCAGATACAGATCTCTTCTTGACAGTTTTGTCATAATGGCTCGACGAGCTTGCTCTAGCTTCATAAGAGTTCCCAGGTTTCACCGGAGTGGGACTT